TACATTATAAATAAGATTCCGGATGTAATAAACAATGTAGGTGATTTTAAACTATTTCCGTTTATGAATAATTGTAAGCCGCATAATGCGGGTATAAAAACAAAAGCAGAACTCCGACTGAGATCATTGTAACTTACGTATTTGCTTTAGCAGAAACTCTGCCAATTATATATTAGAGAATAACACTATCAAAGTTTTATTTGAACATCTACAACCACACTGTCACATTTCAGAAGTGGGATATAATTCGTGAAAAACAAAAGTAAAATTGTTCTGGTATATAAGATGTCGGGCCCCTACATACATGGCCTTGGTGAAAATAAACGGAAATATTGCCGAAAACGTTCCCGAAAGAATGAAGAAAACGAAGAAAGTCAAATTTTTTTTTCTTCAGAAGACCACGCGCCCGCTATGGAAAAAAAACGCCGAGTGAGTCATGTCGACGCTGAAGTCATCCCCAAATTTCGACCTGAAGATAATACCAGTAACGTCAGCAGCTGGTTGCACAAGATCGATCAGCTTGGTGAAATATATGGATGGGATGCAACCGAGAAACAATTTTTAATGCAACTTCGTCTGCGTGGTTCAGCTCGACGTTGGTATGATGACTTAGATGATTATAACCTCGACTGGGATGGATGGAAACGTGCCCTGGAAATGGCCTTTCCACGGTCCACTGATTTCGTCAGCAGGCTCGAAGAGATGTTGGCAAGAACAAAAAAAGATTCGGAAACCATGACTAATTATTTCCACGACAAATTATCACTTATTAAAAAATGCAATATCGTAGGAGAAAATGCAATCTCTTGTATCATCCGAGGTCTTCCCGTGGAGCTGCAAGCAAACGCAAAAGCGTACAAATGTCGGACGCCACAGTTATTATACTACGGGTATTTATCATCATTTGAAAATTATAAGAGAATAGAAGCTGCTACACCAATGCGGAAGTCATTATGGAAAAGGGGTACAACCGATGGAAGCTCTGCAACTGACCAACAGACTGGGGTGAGACGGTGCTATATCTGCCGGCGGTTAGGACATGTAGCTCAGGACTGCCGTTCAAAACAACGCTGTGAAAACTGTCAACGCAATGGTCACACTTCAGCTACCTGTTGGGGTGTGGCGACTCCTGGTTCAACGCAGCAACGTTCGTCATCCCTGGTGAGTCACATCTTGCCACTACTGATGTGTTATGCAGTGTATACAAGCGTCACGCCTACATCGGCACGGAAAAACTGGTTGTCTACATAGATACGGGTAGTAAATTAAATATTTTAACACAAAATAAAGCGACATTGTTGAAATTACCAATAGCGGCATCGACCACGGTAATGCGAGGATTTGGAGGAACTTGCATACAATCGTTGGGGAGGTCGCAAATAACTGTGCATATAGACAAAATATGTCTTAGTGGGTACGTTGAAATAACTAATTACGAGCTATCCGATATAGATTTAATTATTGGGCAACCTATGATTAATCAACCGGGGGTAAGTCTGGTAACTACTTCTAGCTCTGCAAAATTTGTAGAAACTTTAGCAGTTGATGATTGCCTAAAGTGCGTTAAATTGGAAAATCTAGACTACAATTGTAAATTCAATGTGTACCTAAAATGTGATGTCACTTTACCAGCACAAAGTGTCAGTCTAATTGACGTGACGGTGAATATTGAACCCAACGACAATTTGTACTTCCTGACGAATTCTGTCTATATGCAATTAGGAAAATTATGTTATGCAATACCTGGAGGAATTATCTGCATCGAAGGGTGTTTGAAATTTATAAATATGAGTAATATACCAGTTTCCTTCCCTGCTCGTAAATTAATAGCGCGGGCTGAACTAGTGACCCTACCCCCTACTAATGTGCAGGACGTACTCAATACTGATTTTTCTTGTCTTCCTGATGGTTACGGTAACCTTCCAAATAAGGGTGAAATTGACGTAGGAGATCTAGAAAAGAGGGACCAGGATGAACTCCTAAAACTATTAAATAAATACCGTTATATTTTTGCTAGGGATACGAGAGATTTGGGGTGCACAGATCTCGTGGAAATGCATATACGGACAACTACTGAAAAACCAGTTTACTTTAAGCCATATAGACTATCACACAAAGAAAACGAAATCGTTAATAGTAAGGTGCAAGACTTGATTGAAGCCGGCATAATACGCGAATCAACATCCGAATATGCAAGTCCAGTTATATTGGTGAAAAAGAAAGGTGGTGACTATAGGCTTTGCGTCGATTATAGGGCTTTAAACTCTCACACTATAAAAGATCGGTTTCCCTTACCACATATTGACGATCAAATCTCAAAATTGGCGGGTAAATTTTACTTCACAACACTTGACTTGGCTCAAGGATATTATCAAGTGAGGCTTGCCGATGATTCGACACATAAAACTGCCTTTGTTACGCCCTCCGGACATTACGAATTCCTAAAGGTACCTTTCGGTTTGGCCAATGCTCCTGCTGTGTTCTCTCGACTAATAAGCATTGCCTTAAAAGACGTTAGAAACGAGGTTGCCATATATCTTGACGACATAATGCTACCTACTGTAACTGTAGAAGCCGGTATACAATTATTGGATCGTGTTCTAGGCCTTTTGCAAAAAGCTGGTCTAAAATTAAATCTAAAAAAATGTTCTTTCCTGAAAGCAAGTGTCAATTACTTGGGTCATGAGATATCTGCAGGAACAATCCGACCTGGTCAAGCCAAAATCAAATGTGTCTCTGAATATCGACGACCCAAAAACGTTCATGAGATCAGACAGTTTATTGGACTTACCTCCTACTTTAGAAAATTCATCCGTGGATTTGCTGAGATTGCCCTTCCCTTAACAAAACTGACGAAGAAGAACATGGATTGGCATTGGGGTCCAGAACAGGAAAATGCGTTTCAGTGTCTGAAACTTCGATTAATTGAGAGGCCAGTTCTTGGCATTTATGACAGCAAAGCAGTTACCGAACTACACACTGACGCGAGCAAGTTAGGATTAGGTGGCATACTCATGCAGCAGCAGCCCGATGGCTCAATAAAACCAATAGCATATTTCAGTAGAGTAACATCTAAAGAAGAACAATTCTATCACAGTTATGAACTTGAGACCCTCGCAGTAGTAGAGTCGCTGAAACGGTTTCGAATTTATTTAGTAGGGATACCTGTGAAGGTAATTACAGATTGTGCCGCTTTACGCACTACATTGGTTAAAAAGGATCTCATTCCTCGGATAGCTCGCTGGTGGCTCACCATCCAGGATTATGACTTGGAAATAGTATACAGACCGGGAGAACGAATGAAGCACGTGGATGCCTTGAGTAGGAACCCCCTGACGGAACATATTTTCCAAATTGACGAGTCAGATTGGTTAGTAACGCTACAATTGCAGGACGACAATATTCAGCATATAATTACTCAGTTACGAGAACAGACCACTAACCCAGACGTAAATAATAATTATGTTATTAAAGATAACGCCCTGTTCAGAAAAACGTTACATGGAGAACGTTTTGTTATACCAAAACTGGCAAAATATGGCCTACTGCAGAAATATCATGACCAAATAGGACACCCTGGCTTTGAGAGATGCGAAAAAACCATAAAAGCTCAGTTTTGGTTCATCGGGATGACTCGATTTATAAGAAAATACATTAAGTCGTGCCTACAGTGCGCATATGGCAAGTCCGAATATGGTAAGAAACAAGGGGAACTATATCCTATCGAGAAAGTTTCAGTGCCTATGCACACTCTACACGCCGACCACTTAGGACCCTTCGTGAAAACTCGAAATGGTAATACGTATGTACTAGTCGTAATAGACTCTTTTACGAAATTCGTATTCGCAAAAGCTCTCCGAAACTGTAGTTCGGTAGAGACGATTAAACACTTAAAGGAGATAATTACAATGTTCGGGTATCCCAATAGAATCATTACAGATAGAGGAAAGGCTTTCACCAGTCGTTATTTTAAACAATTTGCAGAGGAAACACAATTTAAACACGTGTTAAACGCCATAGCTAGCCCGAGGTCAAACGGACAAGTGGAACGAGTAAATCGCACAATCATAGATGGCCTAAACACTATGTCGGAGAGCGAAAATACATGGGATGAAAATCTATCGGATGTTCTATGGGGCATAAATAATACACCCAATTCTACCACTTCTTTCCCTCCATTCAAACTCTTATTCGGGCACGAAAATTCCCGTTTACCAGCTTACCCTAAGGGAGATCCAAAAGATTTCGCTATACAACAGCAAGCACTACAGGACAGGAGGAAAAGTGCAAAACTAAATATAGATAAAAATATGACCCTCATGAAAAAGAGATTTGACAAATCCCGTAAGACATGTAATAAATATTCAGTAGGACAATTAGTTTTGTGGAAAGGGGGCACTAGTATCGACACATCTGCGAAAGTTTGCCAAAAGTTAAAAAGCCTTTATACAGGACCTTACAGAGTATGTAAGGCAGAGCAGACAATAGATCGTTATACAATATGTAGTGTAAAGGGAATGAAAGGTTATAGAAAATTTAGTGCGGTTGTGCGAGGAGAAGTATTGAGACCATATAAGTCTATTATATCTGATGCAGATAGTTCATCTACTGATGGGGAAGTGGATAGGGATGATCTTATCGATCTGCTAGAGGGTTGACTAAAACAAAAATGTTTATGCTTATAGTTACAAATGTATCTTACAAGTTGTAGAATTATAACTCCTTATTTTCGTTATGTATTTAATTAAATATTCAGAAGTTTTGCTCGTCTCTATTTCGTAGAAATCAATAAATTAAGCTCGAGAGTATTGTATTTAACTTTCTAGAATTAAATTGTTACTAATCTCATTGCTTGTAAATAAAAATCAAATATATTATGATAGAAATATAAATTAGTAATTTATTAAACGAATCCTGTAGTAATAAGAAGTTCCGTATTAATAAGGAGTTTAGAACATTTAAATAACAGGTAATTGGATAATTACCAACTCAAATTTATTGTATAAATATTTATTTATTTTTATATTATTACAAACTCGTAAATTAGTAAATTATTAAAATGAATCCTTAGGATTATTAAGAAGGTTGAAACATTTGAAATATATCTTGTAATATCATTATACATTTACTTCAACATCGCTGTGTAGAAATATCCATTTTGAAATAGCCACATCCATCTGAAACATAAACAATGGGATTATTAACCATGTGAAGATAGATTGCTCTATCCATAATAGCATATCGTTTATTACAATACCAATCGCAAGTAGGAGAAATTATATTAGGTAAGAATGTAGGTGACAAAAACATCGCAAAGTTCTGCGTGACAATACCTTGGCAAGCATTCATTGATCACACAAGGAATAATTGTAATTAATTAATTAATATCCTTTATGTAACTAGATAACATCAAAAAATGTTATTAATACTCAATTACCTAAGAGGTCAACCGGGTCTACTCAAAATTGTCTGTGTGACCGATCCGTCTGTGTGACCGATCCGTCTGTGTGACCGATTCTTCTGTATGACCGACACCAGTCTGTGTGACCAGTCTGTGTGACCAGTCTGTGTGACCAGTCTTTGTGACCAGTCTTTGTGACCAGTCTTTGTGACCAGTCTTTGTGACCAGTCTTTGTGACCAGTCTTTGTGACCAGTCTTTGTGACCAGTCTTTGTGACCAGTCTTTGTGACCAGTCTTAATGACCAGTCCTTGTGACCAGTCTTTATGACCAGTCTTTGTGACCAGTCTGTGTGACCAGTCTGTGTGACCAGTCTGTGTGACCAGTCTGTGTGACCAGTCTGTGTGACCAGTCTTTGTGACCACGTACTAAAGTTCCTTTCGTAACACACTCCAGTTACGTGAACAAAGCAAAAAAAAAATATTTTATAAAACATACCTTCAGAATTTATAAGACAACTGCTTTACTTCTCATATTTTAACTTTTATTGTTCATTTTTTTTTGAATTTTCCAGGCATTTCATGGAACCGAAACCAAGATGCTGTCTGATCGCCGTGGGACACGGCCGTCGCAGGATGGCCGAATGTTAGCAAATGTTTCCCGCCCTCAGCCATAATTAAACTTCTTATTATTAAACATTACTTGATTAAATAAATGCATAATTATTTGATTAATATTTAAGTTTGTAATTACATTATAAATAAGATTCCGGATGTAATAAACAATGTAGGTGATTTTAAACTATTTCCGTTTATGAATAATTGTAAGCCGCATAATGCGGGTATAAAAACAAAAGCAGAACTCCGACTGAGATCATTGTAACTTACGTATTTGCTTTAGCAGAAACTCTGCCAATTATATATTAGAGAATAACACTATCAAAGTTTTATTTGAACATCTACAACCACACTGTCACAGACTTAAACGGAATCGCCCTCACACGGCAGCTGCAGTGAACTTTATACGGCACAAACAAGTGGGGGTTTCTCGATGTACCCTCAATTCCACCTCGTTCAAATCTGTATTTTTTAGACGCTCCGACATATACATTTAAAGGCTTGAAAATTAAAAAGTAAAAAGTGCAATAAAATATTTTGTTTTTGTGTAGATTGACGTCAAATTATTTGTTATTTGTAATTTGCATTGAAATATTTTATACAAAGCTTAACACTGCTTAGAATCGTAGAACATTTTATTTGAATAGGTTATATTAAGGTACTTTATGCGCCGTTTACTATTATGAGAACAACATGTGACAACGACTTGTGGTTTGGGAACCACACTGTCATTCGAGTGCAGTGCTACCAAACTGAGGTTTTCCAAATCCGTAGGTTGGTTTAAAAATTTCCTTAGATACTATTTAAAAATATCTGTAGATCTGCAGACTTCTTAAGAGGATCGACATTTTTTGTTTTTATCATAGAATAGATTAAATTTATTGGAGAAATTCTTTCCGACATGTAAACTTCTTGTTGTAAGTTCATTGTACTATAACATCGATTCAAGCTGCAGCACGCATGAGAAAAAATTACAATAAAAATTGATTAAAAATTAATTGTTTTCTTTTAACGAAATTTTTTTTAGTAAAAAAACAAATAAAATAATTAACACTTAAATATTTGTGGATAGTTATACTAAAAAAAAATTACGTTACACACTTGATGCTGAAAAATTTTGAAGCAATAATTAGATGAATGAAAAACAACGGACCATCATCACTAAAATTATTTTTTTTTTGGTTTCTGTTAGTTTATTCGATAAATTGCGGTTTTTCAGACTAGGGTAATTTATGTAACAGTAAAAAACTATACAAAAAACAACTTTTGAAAAATTGTAGTTAAAATTTTCGATTGTCGGTTATCGGCTAAGTTCATACTCATGATAAAAATGTTTTTTTTTGTGTTAAGTTTTCTAAAATATAATTATTCATAAAATAAATTTACACGGTAATCAAATTTCGTAGATTTCAATTCAAATTCCGTAGTTCCGCAGACGATTAAAATTCCGTAGATCTACGGACAAATTCGTAGAATAGGCTTTGTGAATAATGAATATAAATATTATTTGTTTAGTCAGCGAATAATCTCTGATTTTTTGGTACAAATAATAATTTATAACCAATATTTCGGAAACAATGGATGGGCTTAATTACGGCGTCAAAGTTGTGGCGGCGCTGTCATCATTCCGTTCAGCACTATGCTCAATAGTGTCTCCCAACAGTGTTTTTCTTATTACAACACATCTCGTCATGTTTCACATATGAATGTGAGACATGACTCTTCACTGTTGGCTGTATGAAGAAGCTCAAGGTGAGCGTCCTTGTGTGCGCTCCATGTGTGATAGATTTCGCAACGACAATTATCCGCAGTAGTAATAACATAACCCAACGGATCAATTATCTGAATTGCAATGGACTAACCATTTAGCTCCAAAACTGACAAGCAATGGGAATGAAATGTTCCCGAGTGCTAGCCTAGTAATCTAGTACCGGTAAGGGAAGTGTGGAATGGCTTACCAAACGAGAGTGACGATATGGTAAGCTACGGGAGTTCGATGGATTTCGAAAGACCTAGGTTCAGCATTGAACTTGTGGTTAGCTGTAATGATGATGATGATGACATTTGAGTTCTCGACTTATTATGATGAGCACAGTGACCGACAATGCGTGCGATGAGCAAGTCATTAAATTAAGTTGTGGCTTCTGAACATCATAATGATTTCTTTTATTGACTCTTACACCTACTCACTTATTAAAACATTACTTAAAATAATTAGCCATTTGCAAAGTACCGTGTAGAGCCCATATCTTCCCTTGAGTATCGTAAGCAGCGACAGAGGGAAATGAGTCGGAGGTGGGTAGCAGCGTCTTGCTAATAACAACTTTTTCCTGTTGTAATAAGCCTCAGAAGTAGGAAGAGGCTTTGGCCCAGCAGTTGAGACATTATAGACTGAATAAAAATAACTTCTAGGATGTTATCGCGTTTAATTTAACTTCATCGAAAACAGTCTATAAAGGTCTACTGCTGTAAATAGGCCCCCCTCATGGATAGAATACGTGTAAGGTAAGGTGTAAGATAAATCCTAGATCCTGTTATTTGAAGATTATGTATATCTGAGATATGAAATTCCTATACATTGTATCTTTTGATAAAATAACGGTTGGTTATGGTTGGTTGAAACCGTCGTTTAAATCAGGGTTTGTTATGGGAGTTGTAAAACAACTATATATTATTATGGTTGTAGTACGAAGAGGTTGGCTCGAACGGACAAGGACCACGCTCTCATACAATACCAGCGTGAAATAGCAGCCTAATGCTGTGTTTCCTATGGTGAGTGTAAAGAACCGGGGACAAGTAGCCGACGGACGAAGAAGTAGTAAAAGTTACACGACCACGGTAGGTAGGCAAGACAGATGTAAAATATTCAGACCGGCAACAGCAAACACGTTAAAATATTCCAAGCGCAGCGATTATATAAAATCATTACTTTACAATATAAGAGGCCAATATTGAGCAGTCTATTAAATGCTGACATAACAAAAATAAAGCAAAGGAGGATGAAGAAAAACCAAGGAAATTCCGATCATAACTTTTATGATAATAATAATAATTCTTTATTATCAAAAATAAATCACAAAAGTTTTATGAAGTCTCTGACTCCTAAACTAAGACGAGTCTGTATCTTAGGAATCAGCGGCCTCTCCCAGAGTTGTAACACAGGTAATACGAGTACTAAGAGAACTATGCATGTTTTCATTGTTATAGTAGAAACAAAAGAAAAGTAAACAATTTCAAATTTACAAAATTAAACCAAAAAATAATAAAAATTGTAATATAATAAAGTATTCTATATGTGTTTTAAAAATAAAATTTTCATTAAAATTTTTATTATTTTATTATAAAATAACTGAAGAGTCATAACAATATTGGACGAATATACTTAAACATAATTAGTAAATCGATTCGAAATAAAATTGCTAGCTAGCTGCAGCGTGGTAGAGCCATGCTGCAGCTATATTAGTAGTATAGTTGTAGCACGAATGGGTCGGCTCGACCGGGAAAGGACCACGCTCTCACAGAATACCAGCGTAAAATAGCAGCTTAATGCTGCTGTGTTTCGTATGGTGAGTGTAGAGAACCGGAGACCCTTTTTACTGGATATGAGGCATTCCATCTTAGTCCTCACGAGTGACAACGCATCTACATTTTGTTTGATGTAGATGTTCATGGGCCGCAGCAATCACTTACCATCAGGTGGACTGTGTGCTCGTATGTCACCCTTATCCTATAAAAAAAATCGTAATGGAGCTTCTTTCTGCTTTTTTAAATTTAATTACTTTTTTCTGTGTGGTAACTATAAGTGGATAAAAGTATTTATCACTATTTGTTAACATTCTTTCAATACTTAATCTAAACTTTATTTACATTGAATGTTTGATTACGGTTTTTATTGCTAGGGGAAGGATGTTCGAGAGGCCTGTAGTTCAATATCCCGTCTGCGGATTGCTTCATTAGCACTATTGATTCATTGATAAAATTTCCTACAAGAAAAGGAAAAAAGTCTACAAATACCATTATAAAACTTGAGTGACGTAGCACCTTCTATTATCGAATTTCAAATTATCTCTTTTCCTACCGACGTAAATCTCGTTATTTAATATTGAATGTGGTTGAAAAATTGTGTTACATCTGAGAGGTAATAATGAATGTGGAAAGAGTGACAAAGCAAATGTATGCCACAGAAGTAAGAAGCGTAGTTAGCAAAAGACGCTTACTTGAACAGAAATTTATCAATCAAATTGGTGATATTTTTTTACAGAGATGAGGACAAACGAGCATGTGGTTTGCTGGTTTGTCCCCTCTCTCAAATTTGGCGGCTGGAATTAATCCGAACAATTCATCAGAGCACTCTTCGTGGAAGTATCGAAAATGGACAAAGTTAAGAGTACGTTTAACCGATAAGATTTTATGCGTAGGTATGTTTATGGATGTGAGTGGATATGAGGCAAGCGAGAAAGGTGTGTTAGATTCATGTCAAATTCAGGTCCGTAGTCTCTGCATACCCCCAGGGTAATAGGCGTGATACATTGTTATGTTACAAAGATTAACATATCTGTTAATAAAGATTTTTTGATTGTGATAATATTTTTTTTTTTTAGAAGAGGGGGCAAACGAGCATACGGCTCACCTGATGGTAAGTGACTACCGCCGTCCATGAACAACCGCAACACCAGGGGAATTGTAGATGCGCTAAGTTCTGCAAGACCCGCCGCAGAAGAACACAAAAACTCTCCGATTACACTCTTAATCTCATGGATGTTAGAAGGCAAGTGAAGCTGCAGTCTTCAGCAGATTTGACAGCATACATGCAACTGAACAGACAGATCTCCAAATGAATGCTGCGGGACTTACTCAACTTAAATACAGCACGTATTGAAGAAGCGATCGAGTGGAACTAGGGCTCCAAAGTTTTTGCCAGAGATCTATCTGCCAAAAAGAGCCAACTGTCGCATCGTTTCCGGGACACCTGAGATTTTGGTTGAGATTGAGAGGTTCTATGGGTTTCTGTACGCGTCATCGTTGGAGCCATTCACTGTCCGGCTTTCAGACACAATAGTAAGACAATAGAAATTACCTATATGTAGTACGCAGGACAGTGTACAGGTTAAGCTACTATTTTATGCTGGTATTCTGTGAGAGCGTGGTCCATCCCTGGTCGAGCTGGCCTTTATTTAGTAACTAAAAAGAAATATCAATGTAAAAAATATATATCATCCGCTTATAATCAATGCAGATATATTTACTCAATAGGTACAATAAAACCAAAAGTTGAACGTCAAAACGAAGCTAACTGCGATTCCAATCAAAGCGATACAATCGCACTGAATGAACAAAAAAATAACAAATGGGAAATATACTTTAGTATAATATTTAAGTCAGCGAAGCAACAACAACAGAAAATAATCAGTAAGACAAATTTTAATGTAGAAATGTAATACATTTCTACATTAAAATATGTCTTAAAAAAACTACGTAGGTTATCAACTCACAGTATGTTTTACTTATTGTACATAATATAATAAGCTGTGTAGCCGTGGCATGAATCCACTTTTGCCACGACTACATAAGAATTGAAGCATTAAATATTAACAAACATCCATACATTCTTACAAGACTTTCACTTTTATAATATTAGTAGGATGTATACATAAAAATGTATGTTTACATATTGTAAATAGAATTTGAGTGTCTCTCTGTAATATAGAAATAACTGGTTTCTTTTAAACTCAGGGGGTTATTTGCGTGCTATTACGACATTTGTAAATTTTTTGTTTGTCTCTCTGTCTGTCTGTCTGCTGAACGATTAGGATGAAACTTTACAAACGGGTAGAAAGCAATGCAAGCAGGGATCTCGACCAAAACTAGAAGATTTTATTCTGAAAAATTTGATTTATCTTAAATCTTATAACGCTCCATAAACGATCCAGGCGAAGGCGAAGCCCAGGCAAGTCGTTGTTAATAAAGTATTTTCTTGAGAAAATAGAAATCCAAGCAATCGTATTCAAGGGAAATATGAAATTAGCAGAATTCCTATAAAATTAATCTAAATGAATCGGAACAAAGAACCCAGAGTGGAGCAGTAGATCAACGCTATACACACAGATTGCAGTCGTAAAATAATAGCATCCGTTACAGCCTGTTAAAGTCCACTGCTGAACATAGGGGGATATGTCATAGTTGCTACGCTTGGCAAGCAGGTTAGCAACCGCAGTTTTTTATTTTTAGTAGTTAGGAAGACGCTTCTGCCCATCTCGTGATTTGTTTCCCTTTGTCGCGTCTTACGACATCCACGGGACAATATGGGGTAGTGGATATTCTTACACCACCACTACTCGGTAAGCAGCGGGTAAAGTAGCATAATGCTGTAATTTCGTATGGTGAGTGACGAGAATCAGAGATTCTTTTTACTGTTAACGAGGTATTCCATCTTAGTCCTCAGATGTAAAATGCATCAACATTTTGATTATTGGTTCATCGAAAAAATATTTTTCTTTTATATGAGAAGGGGCAAATAAGTATACGGCTCACCTGATGGAAAGACTACAGCTGCTCAACACAAATAATATAAACAAACACAACCCCAGGGAAATTGCAGATGCGTTGCCGGCCTTTTAAAAAGGAGTGGGCTCTTTTCTTGAAGGTCCCTAAGTCGTATCGGTCCGAAAAAATTGCTGGTGGTATTCGATTCCAAAATGAAGCTGTGCGAGGAAGAAAACTTCTAAATCACACAATCTATGGGCCGCAGTAACTACTACCATGAGGTGCACTGCGTGCTTGTTTGTCACCATAATATTTAAATAATATTACGGAAAGTTAGAGTTAAGTTAGTTTAGAAGTCTTACCAGTGTTGAAACAGCTAGACTAGTTTATAATGTCGTATGGTATTTTACTATGGGGACACGCAGAAATTATATTTGTTTTACAGAAGAGGGCCATAAGTGCAATTTATGATTTAAAGCCTAAAGAGTCGCTGCGACAAAATTTTAAGGAACTTAATATATTAACTTTGACTTTACATTTATGAAAATGTAATGTACGTACACAAAAATAAAAGTAGTTTTACAAAAATAAGTGATATTCATCCTGTAAATACTAGGAACAGACACAAGCTAGTAGTACCAGTTACTCGACTCCATCGAGTCAATAATTCATTCTTGGGGCGATGTATACGCTTTTACAACAAAATTCCAGAAAATATACAAAATTTGACCTGCTCAAAGTTCAAAAACTTTATTAAACTAAATTTGTATAAAAAGAGTTATTACAATAATATTAAAGAATTTATGGTTGATAATAACCCTGGAAATGAGGTGATCGCTACTAAGCTATTTCTAATTTGTTGTGTTGTTAATTTGTGTAACATCATGATTGTAAGCCGTTATTTAAAAAAAAAGTCTCGTTGGGTTTCTTGCTGGTTCTTCCCAGGACAGAGGTTTTTTTTTGAACCAGTGGTAATTAAACAAAAGAGTGACTTTAAATAAGTATTATTTATAATCTATATTGAATAAAGAAGTTTCTGTTTCTGTTTCTGTTAGATATAATTATCTAACTTAAAATATCTTAATAGATATTTTCACTGTTCAATAGTTCAACTTTCCCTAGCCT